TGCATGAAAGGGTTCTGGACCCAGCTCTCCTCCTGCGTCTCTTCGGTTTAACCTGCATCCTCAGTTGATTGGAGATAGCTATTGTTTCGAACACCATGCTAGCCGGCTTGGTGAGCTCGGAGGCTCTTTTTGAGAGCAGTTAAATGGTGCAGTTTGTCAATGTGAGACACTTTTTCGGAGTGCAGTAGCGTATCACAAAATAGCATCAGATCATACAGTATGTGTTTTTTATTCAGAAAGTAGGTAGTAACTAGTGTTTAATAAACGTAAAAGAGTTACAAGCATTACCTTTGCCTCCAAAATGTAGTGGGATAGAAGTATAAAGTACATGACAAAATAGTACTTAAGTATAGTAGTCAAGCACATATGATAGTGTTCGTAGAAATTGCTCCTTTTTCTTTTACAATCTAAAGACAGGCAGCCGGGTCTATGAAGTTTTAACATCCTAAAATCTACTTTTAATTGCTCACAATTTAGCATACTCAAATCTTTTCCTGCTCTATTATGGTGGCACATACAGTACTGCTTCCAAGCTTTTAACACACACAGCCCCCGCACACACACTCACTCTTACAACCCCACACACAGATTAAGCCTCTTTGGCGGCGCTCAGCATGTCCACTTCACTTCCTCTGTGCCAGGTCTGTTTCGAGCCACTTGCCCCTCGGCGGGCGGTTCAAGTCTGGCCATCCATTGAAGGCTGTGACCGACACAGCTTCACCATGGAAACTGCCACGTGACCTCCCAAGTCCCTTTCCTGAGTCTCACCCATAGTGGAGGTCATGTATTGTGCACCTGTCGGTACACAGCCTGCAGGAGACCAAACCGGTGACTTACACAGGGTTTTTCTACTTAGTCTTGTATATACACTCAGCTCAACCAGTACATGCACTTCTTTTGTTAACTAACAGACGCAGACTTCCTTTTTTCAACTCTCATTTCACACACACTTGATCACAGAGAGAAAGCTTTGCTTGCTGCAGAGATAAGTGTTGCATACAGTAAGTATTTTCATAGGTTGTATAAGTGGAGATGACATGTCTATTGGTTTGGAGCCTCAAGTTTGCTGTGCTGGCAGTTGCATTTGGTTTTTTAAAGGGGCCCTATTTGGATTTTTTGGGTTTTTGCTTTCCTGTAGTGTGCTATGTAGATTTTTATTTGAATGTAAATGGTCTTCAAAGGATAAAATCCCTGTGTTCCCTAGAGATAATAACAGAGACGTATTACTGTAGGAACATTTTAAGAGTTTTTTTTGCCGTAGAATTCAATAGAAACTGAATAATTTATCCATTTAATCAAAGGCATTTAGGTGTTGGCTTCACTTTTCAGTTTTAAATCAAGTGGATTAAGTCCCCATGTTATCACCTATTGGTTTGTTTGAATCCGTTTTTTAAGGCCTGAAGTTTTAGCCTTTGCATTTTTATTTTTTTAACCATCAACACCCTGGTTTATTGGAGTGGGTGGAGCTCATTATGACCGAACACTGAACAAAGTATTCTTTAGGCTTTTCAAAGAACTTTGCTTGAAACAACGTTTGTTGCAACTCTCATCCCAACAGACAAGATGTCGCTGACACTTCATACGCCCCGGGGAAGAGGGGTGAGACACCATAACGATTAAAACGGAGGTAACAGCTCACACTTTCTGAAGATCTTTCTCGTTAGCTTTGCATTTGTTTGCACTTGCAGAAAGTGACAGAAGTTGTGTGAAGAACAAATATGAGAGCTTGTGAAAAAAAGGCGTGACATGTTTCTAAAATGCAGAAAAACGGGATTGAGACACAGTTTTGATGTGTTTATGCGATCTGAACGTTTCTTACCAACCTGGAAACTGTTGTTAACGTTTAAAGCTGTTTTCAAACTCAGCAAACATGGATTTAGACTAAAACGAAGGAAAACAACAATATATCAGAGAATATTCCTGCTTATTGGTTCATGCAGTTTTTCAAAAAATTACGTTTAAGGGTTTACGCCAAGTAATGATTACGACCTGTACAGTAAGTGCCTTAGTTCTCTCTCCATTTCTTTGATCCTTCTCATCTTGTTGCTCCACGATTAAGATTCAAACAGAGACATTTTAAGCGCCTTGAATTTTTTTGAATGACTCACCTAATGAGGTCAGGGCATCCAACTAGATTACATTTAGAAAGCCTTGAAAGAATCTCCATTTCGACGAAGCATTACTTTCCAGACATTGTTTTATCAAATTGCAAAACTCCGTCCCACACTCTCCCTGTGAGATGCGGAACAACTGGTCCATGCCTTCGTCTCCTCAAGGCTCGATTACTGCAACGCTCCCCTCATCGGGACTCCTAGCGGGAGCCTTCAGAAGGTCCAATACGTACAGAACAGTGCCGCTAGGATTCAGGATCGAATACAAGATCGAACCACTGACCCATCAGTGCATCCACGGGAACGCTCCTCCATACCTGAAGGAACTTCTCACATCTCAAACCTCCACACGCAACCTCCAATCCACAACTAACCATCGGCTTCGCCCCCCCGAGGACCAAACTCCGCACAATAGGGGATCGGGCTTTCTGTGCAGCTGCTCCTCACCTGTGGAATTCCCTCCCAGACCACCTGAGGACTCCTAGACCACATGAGGACTCCCAGACAACCTGAGAACTCTACAGACCACCTGAGGACTCCCAGACCACCTGAGGACTCCCAGACCACCTGAGGACTCCATAGACCACCTGAGGACTCCCAGACCACCTGAGGACTCCACAGACCACCTGAGGACTCCATAGACCACATGAGGACTCCATAGACAACCTGAGGACTCCCAGACCACCGGAGGACTCCATAGACCACCTGAGGACTCCATAGACCACCTGAGGACTCCCAGACCACCTGAGGACTCCATAGACCACCTGAGGACTCCATAGACCACCTGAGGACTCCACAGACCACCTGAGGACTCCATAGACCACCTGAGGACTCCACAGACCACCTGAGGACTCACAGACCACCTGAGGACTCCATAGACCACCTGAGGACTCCACAGACCACCTGAGGACTCCATAGACCACCTGAGAACTCCCAGACCATCTGAGGACTCCCACACAACCTGTGGACTCCCAGACCACCTGAGGACTCCCAGACCACCTGAAGACTCCATAGACCACCTGAGAACTCCCAGACCACCTGAGGACTCCCACACAACCTNTATACAGTACACCGCTTCGTGTCGGGCCGAACCACGCCCCTTAGCTGTGATATAATGAGCATATAAATATAATTAAGCAATAGCTCACGACAGGCCGTGGTATATGCTCATTATATCACAGCTAAGGGGCGTGGTTCGGCCCGACACGAAGCGGTGTACTGTATACTGTTTTTCTTAGATGCGGAGGGATACTGACTTGTTGTGAAAAGTTACTTACAATTCTACCCATGGTATACGCTCAGTATATCACGGCTAAGAACCAATCAGATTGCTTGATTTGACTTGTCCGTTTTATAATTTATATTTTACCTAATCGCCGAAATAGTAATGCTATAATGATAATAAATACTGTATCGTAGGGGTGTAACGGTATCCGTATTCGTCCCGTGCGATATCTCGCAAAACATTTTTTTTTCAAAGAATTTTTTTTTTCTTCTCCATGTCCCCTATGGGGCTCCGTATAATCTGGCCATCTGGGTGTGTGGTACTGTTTGTGGTTTGTTTTTAACCGTTTAATACAGTTAATTATTCAAAATGTCAGAGTTCCTTATTTTTAAACTGAAACTTGCACTACTGTTCAAAAATAAATAACAACAAACCTGGAATTATGCATTTGGGAGTTTGTTTTGCTTTTTCTTGTTGGACCGAACCGTGACCTCCAAACCGAGGTACGTACCGAAACGTGACTTCTGTGAACCGTTACACCCCTACTGTATCGTATAGTAATGAAACGTAAAATGGCATTTAACTCTCGAGGTGTTTTGCTGGTGAGAGATTTTAGTTGCTTTAGCGTGTAGAAGCTAGTAAGCCTATTTGATTTGTTTAGGCACAACATGTTTCCTTATTTTCCTGTTCCATGTTAAAATAAACCATTTTCAGTGGTACTGCTGAGTCATTTTTTTGGGTCATGGAAAATTAGGTAAAAGTCATTGAAAATCATTGGGGAAAAAGTGTATGAACCCTGTAAAAGTAAAATAAATTAAACTGAAAGAAAATCCCAAAATGGCAAATTATTATTCAAAATGACAGGAAAGGCTTCTCTGCCTCTGATTGACTTTCTTAGTCCTCATTCCAAAACGTAACCAACTAACGAAGGCAAAGAGTACTCTGGGGTGTCATGCCTTCACCACAGTAGAAAACCAAATATAATTGTGTGTATTTTCCCCAAAAATTGCTATTTGTATTTTGGCGTTTCCATCTGCTTTCAGTCGGACTACAGGGGTTTCAGAATAATGAGCAATCACAAGATGTGTGTATCTGCCATTTCAAATTGGATCCAGATTTAATGGGTTCTTCCGTGGTCCATGCTACATCCCTTCCACACATTTCACGAAGATCCATCTCAGTAATGCTGCTGATATTGATGCAAATAAACAAAGAAATATATCCCAAAATATACCCTTCGATAAATGTCCTCCGATCTGTACGCTCCGATTATCCGATGTAGTAAACCATATGTGAATAAAGCACAGTCCTTAATGCTCTTCTTCCTTGTGTCTGATCTCTGTGCCAATGAACAGCTCGTGTCTAATAATAAACCACAATATCATTCAGGTTCTTAATACCAAATACAAAAGCCTTCGTTTCTTCTGTATCTGTGGCAGACCCCCTCAGATTAACCAGGGTATTTGAGGCTGTGAATTGTACCTCAACTGAAGCTTAGCCACGCAGATAAGCACGCTTCAAAGGGAAATGAGGGTTATGGCTGGATGAGTGGGGGTAGATAATGCAAAGGAACTGAATGCATCCAGAATTAGGTTTTCAAGTGCTTTCTAATGTATTACCGTGAAGACACCACAAAGCGATGGAATCACAAAGCGAGTGAATACATGTGCACCAGGATGGTTAACACTTCTATCCAACACTTTGCAATCATGTGAATGGCTTTGAAGTCGGGAAATAAAGCTTGGATTTATATTTATTGCAAAGGACAAATTGCTAGGAGGAGAGAAGAGCATCATGTGAGATGAAAGGTCACTGTAGGTGTATTAAAGAGGCCCTATCATACTGTGTGCCCGTAGACATAGAAATGTATGAATGTGTTGGGGCTAATTTAAGTGAAATGTCTTTGATGCCATAAGGAATGTTGTGACTAGTAAAGAACACAAGATTATAATCTGAGAGGGTGGAAAGAGTGTGTTATAGGTTCTTGTGATTGCAAATGGTCTACAAAGGCTACCATCCACATTAAAGCATGGAAACATGTCACTGTAGAGCACATGTGTCAAACTCAAGGCCCGGGGGCCAAATCAGGCCCTTGGTGGATTTAATTTCGGCCCGCAGGATAATTTTTAATTACTATCGGCTCCGGCCTGACCAAGTTCACAAATAACGTACTTGCATAACTTTACTTGAATAACGGGTGTATAATTGGACCTTTATTGTTCGAAATTTACTAACGGATATTTTTGTTGTAATTTTAATTTATTAGTCAACGTAATAAAGAATACCGGGAGATTAGACGGGTCGAAAAGGTCTCAGTAAAGAACTGACTAATGTAAAAGGGTGTCCCGGTTGTTTCGAAGTTTTTTTGTTAAGGGGAGTTTCGTCTTTTGGTTTGTACGGGACAACAGCACCTCTCTTTTTCACGTCTTCCTTTGTAACGTCCAGTCAAACCGACGGGAGACACTACGGATCAAAGTCTATGAACGCGTAGAGTAGAGCCTACGTTCCAGTAGCTTACGAAACCAGTCCGACACTCGAAAAAAAAAAAAAAAAAAAAAAAAAAAAAGTCGCTCTGGGAGTCCTACCTCAACTTCCAGACGGGCACGTTATATGGCCGCCGGT